GCCTTGGATCAAGAGCCATTCACCAGCCCTGAGAGCCTTGGATCAAGAGCCATTCACCAGCCTTGAGAGCCTTGGATCAAGAGCCATTCACCAGCCTTGAGAGCCTTGAACAAGAGCCATTCACCAGCCTTGGATCAAGAGCCATTCACCAGCCCTGAGAGCCTTGGATCAAGAGCCATTCACCAGCCTTGAGAGCCGTGGATCAAGAGCCATTCACCAGCCTTGAGGGCCTTGGAACAAGAGCCATTCACCAGCCTTGGATCAAGAGCCATTCACCAGCCCTGAGAGCCTTGGATCAAGAGCCATTCACCAGCCTTGAGAGCCTTGGATCAAGAGTCATTCACCAGCCTTGAGAGCCTTGGAACAAGAGCCATTCACCACCCTTGAGAGCCTTGGATCAAGAGCCATTCACCACCCTTGAGAGCCTCGGAACAAGAGCCATTCACCACCCTTGAGAGCCTTGGATCAAGAGCCATTCACCACCCTTGAGAGCCTTGGATCAAGAGCCATTCACCACCCTTGAGAGCCTTGGATCAAGAGCCATTCACCACCCTTGAGAGCCTTGGATCAAGAGCCATTCACCACCCTTGAGAGCCTTGGATCAAGAGCCATTCACCACCCTTGGATCAAGAGCCCCATCAACAAACCTAGTGGTCAACCACAGTGTCAGTGCCGGGTTGGAGGTCAATCGACAATATAAAAATCAATTTAAGTCTACAAATCACCTCTACATTAACATCAAGAACTCTATAATGCATAAAATAATAGGGAATACATGGATAAATTGTCATTTTTGTGGAAATTGGTGTCACGCTCCTTGTGCAGATATCCCAGAACTAGCTACAAGCAGTATTAAAACAGAGAAGTGTTTTTGGGTATGCCCAAATGAGGAAAATCTGTGGACTAAAATCACAAGGGTATTAAAAGAGGATAACATCAAAGCTGCTTTCATAGAAAACCTGGAAGCTTTCTACAACAGATGGGAACATAAAAAGTCCGGGCTGAATGGTACTGCCCTTGATACTGGCCATGTAGTCACAAACTGTAAGGCTGGAGGTGATGTCCTGGTAGTCAGTAAATGTGGGGCTGATAGTGCTGTCCTGGGAGACAGTAATGGTGAAGCTGGAGGTGCTGTCCTGGGAGACAGAAATGGTGAAGTTGGAGATATTGTCCTGGGAGACAGTAATGGTGAAGCTGGAGATTTTGTCCAGGTAGTCGGGAATTATACGCAGGAAGGAATACATATAAATGACCTCATAGAGGACAGGAGCCATAGTAGGGAAACAAGTGTAGTCAAAGATAAGATAAAACCAATATTGCAAACCAGAAATACCGCAGGAAATAGCAAACAAGAGGACTCCAATAGCAATAGTGAGGATAAATTACCAAAAACAACTGGTGGGAGCTCCATTGTTGGTGCTAAGGAGGATAGGAATAAGACAGGGAAACATGCACCAACAGGGAATACAGTCACAGAAACCCAAGGCAAACGGAAACCAAGCCTGTGCACATACTATGCACTTGGTATCTGCTGGCATGGGAAATCTGGAAAAACAGATGGGACATGCAACTATGACCACCCTAGAAAATGTCATGCCCATATGACAACAGGAAAATGCAAACTCCCTTCCTGTAAGCTTTTTCACCCTGAAATGTGTACCTCTTCAGTACAGGAAAGACTGTGCTATAACTTAAATTGCCAGGCATACCATCTAAAGGGGACAAAAAGATACAAAACATCCAGGCCATGGGAAAACCTGGGTAGCCACAGACACTCAAGAGGGAGAGGTTTTTTAGTACCAGGAAGGAAAAAAAACTGGCAGGAAATGGCAGAAATCGTACACCAAATCCAGTCATTCCTGGAGTGGAACCACAGTCGATGGCCTCCACTCCAAACCAACAGATACAGATACTAATGCCGGAAAAAAAATCCCCCCCCCAGTACCAACAATACCACCAGTCCGATAACATTCTTCTTTGCAAATATACAGGGTCTAAAGCCAGCAATAAACAACAAAATACCTTTCATCCGTGGACTGCTTGCAGAGGCAAAGGCAATGTTCGCGGCTTTCACTGAGACCCACATAAAGGATCACTTGGACAACGAAATATGGATCCCAGGTTACAACCTATACAGATGTGACAGAGTGAACAGGCAAAAGGGGGGGGTTGGCCTGTACATTGCAGAGTCACTTGTTTGCACAGAACTGCTTAATGCCTCAAATGACGTAGTGGAAGTTTTAGCAGTAAAGGTCGAGAACCAAAACCTAGTCATTGTGGTAGTCTACAAGCCTCCGGATGCAACATCCCAGCAATTCCAGGAACAGCTGTTAAAAATTGACCACTGTCTGGAAAATCTTCCAGCTCCTGCACCCAACATCTTGCTCCTGGGGGATTTCAACTTAAGGCACCTAAAAAGGAGGAATATAGCAAATAATATTGTTGCAGTAATAACACCAGGAGGCAGCTCTGATGAAAACTCACACTCACACGAGCTTTTAAATCTCTGCACAAAATTCAATTTAAACCAGCAAATAATAGAGCCTACTAGACTGGAGAATACACTAGACCTCATCTTCACTAACAATGATGATCTGATAAGAAATGTCACCATATCAAAAACAATATACTCAGATCACAACATAATTGAGGTTCAGACATGTATGCGTGGAGCCCCAGACCGACAAATGAGACTAGTCACGAGGGAGCATTCACCAAATTCAACTTCAATAACAAAAACATAAAGTGGGACCAAGTAAACCAAGTCCTAACCGATATAAGCTGGGAAGATATACTAAGCAACACAGACCCAAACTTATGCCTAGAACAGATTAACTCGGTGGCACTCGATGTATGCACAAGGCTTATTCCTCTAAGAAAAAGGAGGAGTAGATGTAAAATAGAAAGAGACAGGCGCTCCCTTTACAGGCGACGGAAAAGAATAACAGAGCGGCTAAAAGAGGTCAATATATCAGAAATGCGCAGGGAGACACTGGTCAGAGAAATAGCAAGCATCGAACTTAAGCTAAAAGAATCCTTTAGGAGTCAGGAATCGCGGGAAGAACTAAAAGCCATAAATGAAATCGAAAGAAACCCAAAGTATTTCTTCTCCTATGCCAAATCAAAATCGAGAACAACGTCCAGTATTGGGCCCCTACTTAAACAAGATGGGTCCTACACAGATGACAGCAAGGAAATGAGTGAGCTACTCAAGTCCCAATATGACTCAGTTTTTAGCAAGCCGCTAACCAGACTGAGAGTCGAAGATCAAAATGAATTTTTATGAGAGAGCCACAAAATTTGATTAACACAAGCCTATCCGATGTTATCCTGACGCCAAATGACTTCGAACAGGCGATAAATGACATGCCCATGCACTCTGCCCCAGGGCCAGACTCATGGAACTCTGTGTTCATCAAGAACTGCAAGAAGCCCCTATCACGAGCCTTTTCCATCCTATGGAGAGGGAGTCATGGACACGGGGTCGCCCTCATTACTAAAAACAACAGACATAGCCCCACTCCACAAAGGGGGCAGTAAAGCAACAGCAAAGAACTACAGACCAATAGCACTAACATCCCATATCATAAAAATCTTTGAAAGGGTCCCTAAGAAGCAAGATCACCACCCATCTAGAAACCCATCAGTTACACAACCAGGGCAACATGGGTTTAGAACAGGTCGCTCCTGTCTGTCTCACTACTGGATCACTACGACAAGGTCCTAAATGCACTAGAAGACAAAAAGAATGCAGATGTAATATATACAGACTTTGCAAAAGCCTTCGACAAGTGTGACCATGGCGTAATAGCGCACAAAATGCGCGCTAAAGGAATAACAGGAAAAGTTGGTCGATGGATCTATAATTTCCTCACTAACAGAACACAGAGAGTAGTCGTCAACAGAGTAAAGTCCGAGGCAGCTACGGTGAAAAGCTCTGTTTCCACAAGGCACAGTACTAGCTCCCATCTTGTTCCTCATCCTCATATCCGACATAGACAAGGATGTCAGCCACAGCACCGTGTCTTCCTTTGCGATGACACCCGAATCTGCATGACAGTGTCTTCCATTTCAGACACTGCAAGGCTCCAGCGGACATCAACCAAATCTTTTAGTGGGCTGCAGAAAAAAATATGAAGTTCAAAGATGAGAAATTTCAATTACTCAGATATGGTAAACATGAGGAAATTAAATCTTCATCAGAGTACAAAACAAATTCTGGCCACAAAATAGAGCGAAACACCAACGTCAAAGACCTGGGAGTGATTATGTCGGAGGATCTCACCTTCAAGGACCATAACATTGTATCAATCGCATCTGCTAGAAAAATGACAGGATGGATAATGAGAACCTTCAAACTAGGGAGGCCAAGCCCATGATGACACTCTTCAGGTCACTTGTTCTATCTAGGCTGGAATATTGCTGCACTCTAACAGCACCTTTCAAGGCAGGTGAAATTGCCGACCTAGAAAATGTACAGAGAACTTTCACGGCGCGCATAACGGAGATAAAACACCTCAATTACTGGGAGCGCTTGAGGTTTCTAAACCTGTATTCCCTGGAACGCAGGTGGGAGAGATACATGATTATATACACCTGGAAAATCCTAGAGGGACTAGTACCGGAACTTGCACACGAAAATCACTCACTACGAAAGCAAAAGACTTGGCAGACGATGCACCATCCCCCCAATGAAAAGCAGGGGTGTCACTAGCACGTTAAGAGACCATACAATAAGTGTCAGGGGACCGAGACTGTTCAACTGCCTCCCAGCACACATAAGGGGGATTACCAACAGACCCCTGGCAGTCTTCAAGCTGGCACTGGACAAGCACCTAAAGTCAGTTCCTGATCAGCCGGGCTGTGGCTCGTACGTTGGTTTGCGTGCAGCCAGCAGCAACAGCCTGGTTGATCAGGCGCTGATCCACCAGGAGGCCTGGTCACAGACCGGGCCGCGGGGGCGTTGACCCCCGAAACTCTCTCCAGGTAAATATACCTACGTCAGTATATATACAGTTGTAGATCAGAATAACCGTCTCCTACGACACTACAACCAACACTGACTTTTTACCTCAGATTTTGACATCGATATTAATCACTGTAAAATGTAGTATTTTTTTATTAGATGTATAAATAATGTATTTATCTGAATGTTATTTTTTTATGACCAAAAAGAAGCGGTGAACCTACAAGGGTCATAAACTATGTGAATATATGTGTACTCGCCTAATTGTGGTTGCAGGGGTCGATTCATGGTTCCTGGCCCCGTATTTTCAACTAGTATCGCCATTATTATTGGTCCTTGGGCTTGTGACCCGTTATTATTATTATAATGGGGAAGCGCTAAACCCATAGGACTGTACAGCGCCTGTGGGGGTGAATGGAAGTTATTCAGGCTTAATTCAGGGAATTGGAGCAGAGTTCCGATTCCCTAGATCAAGAGCCCCTCACCAGCGTCAACGAATCTCTCTTGAGGGGGACCCGTGTCATACCTGCTCTTGAATCTCTGTACTGTGGTTCGCACGACCAGGCTAAGGGGGCATTGACCCCCGAAACCCTTTCCAGGTATACTGAATTTGCCTCTGACATTCCCGCATTTAGTTATTTCCATGTATTTTACCACTCTGAGACTTAAAAAGTATTTCCTAACATCCTTGTGGGTCACCAGTGTCTTTAGCTTCAATTTACTGCCCCTGGTCCCTATGCCTCTCATTTCTATTATTACAATAATCGCAACTAAGAGCTAAACCTATATGGGTCATCTAGCACTCCTGGGGATCTTGTACCCTGTGGGCTTAGTACTTACCTTTGATTGTAATAATAATGGGTATCTTTTATGTCATAATCATGTCTCCTGAGTGTGATTAATTTATGTGCAAGCTATTTCTATAGTAGTAGTAACAGGCTTCTACACTAATGAACAAAACCATGCTTCAATTTTATAATTTATTAATTATAATGAGCATTTTGGTCGAGTGAGGGGAGGACCTGCCTAGCATGTGTCAGTAGACTTACTACACTGAATATGGTTATTTTCTTCAAGAACCTATAAGTGTGACTGTGTAATTAATACAAATTTAGAGTTGTCAGGGTGTATCTGGAGGCATGAGTGGCCACCTAACACTGCAAAATTATTAGTATAATCAGGGGAAAACACTAAAACTGTAAGGGCATATGAGGCAATAGGGATCGATCCAAGGGAAAGATATACCCATTTCCTTGGATCAAGAGCTCCCTCACTGCCAACAAGGCACCTCGTCGAGGACTGGAGAAGAGCTAATAATATAGTATATACTGAGTTTATACGTAGTAATCTTTTTTTGAAGTCCTGAAGTATTCTTGACTGGTGGTGAACAGGTTGCATACAACATTAATGACCCTCATGTAGTAGACTTGAAGCCCAATTAACCAAGCAACCACCCAGGAGAGGCAGAGATTGGCTAGATCAGGGGTCTCCAATCTATGGTCTGCATATGGCCCTTCTAGGAAGTGGATGCGGCCCTCATGTGAAATTATGAATTCACTTTTATGTAGATGCCACACTGGATAATGTCAACACAACCGTGCAGCCCTCATCATATATTTGACCATCAAATGTGGCCCACTTGTGTAGAAAGGTTGAGGATCACCGGGCTAACAGTAATGGAAGGCTATATGTGACTGATCTATATTCTGACGAGTTGTGATGATCAGAGTCGCAGGAGCGTACTGAACTGGCTAATGATGACCCATGTTGCAACAATAAAATGCCACATTAGTTGCATATTTTTTCCAATTACCTAACACATTATTGGTAATTCTATCAATACTATTACAATAAGTTATGTATTGATATTGTCATTCAATGTGGTTAAAGATAAAATAACACACAAGGGTGTAAGAGTAGTATAGTAAATGTTTAAATGCTTTAATAAGATGGTAAATATACATTATATGATGTACTACAAGTACACAGCAGTACCTACACTCAACCTTGTATGATGTAAGTAACAGTACCTACACTCAACCTTGTATGATGTAAGTAACAGTACCTACACTCAACCTTGTATGATGTAAGTAACAGTACCTACACTCAACCTTGTATGATGTAAGTAACAGTACCTACACTCAACCTCGTATGATGTAAGTACACTAACGGTACTTACACTCAACCTTGTATGATGTAAGTACACTAACAGTACTTACACTCAACCTTGTATGATGTAAGTAACAGTACTTACACTCAACCTTGTATGATGTAAGTAACAGTACCTACACTCAACCTTGTATGATGTAAGTAACAGTACCTACACTCAACCTTGTATGATGTAAGTACACTAACAGTACCTACACTCAACCTCGTATGATGTATGTACACTAACAGTACTTACACTCAACCTTGTATGATGTAAGTAACAGTACTTACACTCAACCTTGTATGATGTAAGTAACAGTACCTACACTCAACCTTGTATGATGTAAGTAACAGTACCTACACTCAACCTTGTATGATGTAAGTAACAGTACCTACACTCAACCTTGTATGATGTAAGTAACAGTACCTACACTCAACCTTGTATGATGTAAGTAACAGTACCTACACTCAACCTTGTATGATGTAAGTAACAGTACCTACACTCAACCTCGTATGATGTAAGTACACTAACAGTACCTACACTCAACCTCGTATGATGTAAGTACACTAACGGTACTTACACTCAACCTTGTATGATGTAAGTACACTAACAGTACTTACACTCAACCTTGTATGATGTAAGTACACTAACAGTACCTACACTCAACCTTGTATGATGTAAGTACACTAACAGTACCTACACTCAACCTTGTATGATGTAAGTACACTAACAGTACCTACACTCAACCTTGTATGATGTAAGTACACTAACAGTACCTACACTCAACCTTGTATGATGTAAGTACACTAATAGTACCTGGTATAAACCTTGGTAATAAATACCGACAAGTTGGTTTAGAAAGACACGTAAGCAAACACTATGACATATTTATTAGAAAACGTTTCGGTCCTGGGACCTTGATCACTTCTCAAAAGTGATCAAGGTCCCAGGACTAAAACGTTTTCTAATAAATATGCCATAGTGTTTGCTTACGTGTCTTTCTAAACCAACTAACAGTACCTACACTCAACCTTGTATGATGTAAGTACACAACTCTCTAAACTCAACATGTGGAAACAAACACATTTTTATAAGTTTCCTGTCTCATGCACATGACATAAAAATTAACAAACTTGTTTCCTCAACCATGCCATCTAAATTTTGAAAATGCACAACACTTGTGATTTTCATGCGACTAATGACTTTACCTCCATTACCATATTCATTAAAGAATAAAGATTTTATTTCTTTGCAAAGGTTACAATGTGTAATTACAATTTTGATTTGTTAAGTACGTACAAAGAAAGCCACTATCATGCCGGGGCATTTCAGGAATTTCACTTAAATTAAAACTTAAGTGATTATGTGAAATATCTTAGTTTGTCCTTGAATGCATTACAGTGAAACCTTCATGAAGATGAAGTACCATTCATAAGACATACTTTATGAGATGTAATCAAACATTTTACGAACTATACACAGGAGCGCCTCGTTTTACAGCACTTTTTTAAATGTAGCGGTTTTCAATTTTACCCATTCTTCATTTATTCAGATTTCCTATAATGAATATATTCACCACTCACTATAAGCTAAGGATGAAAATATTTTAAGTAATGTGTGTACTGTATATGCAATTTTTAGGCCTAGCTCTACTGCTCAATATATGATAGTGTAAATAAGTATTTAAAAGTTAAAAAAAAGTCTGATTCAATTTACAGCGATTTTCTGCCTTACAGTGGTAGATTGGAACCTAACCTCCTGTATAAGCAGGGTCCTCCTGTATATTCTTTGCATCCTCAGCATCTGCCAGGGATGCTTCCTGCCACAAGCACACAGATGGTCAATGGAAAGATATGGTTAATGGAAAGAGAACTTTTAGCCCAGAGACTAGATGACATTCCCACACTCAGAGTATTAATCTAACATTTTGCATTATTATGGGTCAGTTGGAACACAAATAGGTTTTCTAGCAGGTATAAAATATACAAATGAGATGCATTATTGCATGTGTCACAGCTCAGAAAGTCAGCCTCATAATGGCATGATGCCACATACATTTTTGCTGAAAGACAAACTATGTGATACTCTTTTTCTTTTTCCAGCGGCCCAAAAAAAGGAGGAAACACTTTCACCATCGTTCATTGTATTACTGCCATTCCAGAGATGTGCCGACATTACAACTCAGTGTCCCAGCCCCTCCTTCAGAGTGCAGGCATGTACTTCCCACCTCCAGGATTCAAGTCCATTTAATTGGTTTCCCCAAATCCCTTCCTCGCACTCCAACAGCATGTAAGGTCATTAAAACCACTTGCCTCCACTCATGCCTATCCAACATGCTTGCACATGCCTATAAGATGTCCAAGCCCCTTGCATACAAAACCACCTTTACTCCCTCCCTCCAACCTTTCCTAGGATGACCTTTACCCCCCTTCCCTCCACTACAGATTTATATTCCCTCCAAGTCATCCTGTTTTGCTCCATCCTCTCTAAATGCCCAAACCATCTCAATAACCCCTCCTTGACCATCTGGATAATACTTTGACTAACCCTTTACCTCCTCCAAGCTGCAAATTTTCTGCATAATATTCACTCCACACATTGTCCTCAGACAACATCTCCATTGCTTGCAGCCTCCTTGCTGCAACGTTTAAAACCCATGCTTCACACCCATATAAGTATGTTGGTACCACTATACTCTGGTATATTCCCTGTTCACTTCATATTTCACATACCCTTTCTCTGAAAAGTTGACTCCCAAATGCCTGAACACATTCACTTCTTCTATACTCCCTCCTAATCCGTTATCAAATCTTTCATAAGCTATTTTTTTTGTTGCTCTCATTACATTGCTCTTTGTGTTAAATGAATCCACACTCCAGTTGTGTATAAAGATGGTAGAATACAAAGTATGTTCAGCTCATGGAATGTCAAGTACATATATAAATAAGTCTGTCAGGTGCTAAAGGAGTATAGAAGTGTACTACAATGTAAATTACAGTTAAGTTGCACACATCCATGTTATATAATGTACAAAAAATGTAGGAAAACTTCAGTAAACTAATGTGAGATCTTCTGTGTTGACATCAAGCAGAAACTGCTGCTGTAAACGTAATTTAACTTTTGCATATACTACGTATTTATGTATACAGGTACGTACTTCACAATCTACATATATGTGTGTATAACACACCTGTTTGGGGTCTCTTGAATTACATTCCCTTCATTGCAATCCTCCTATAGAAGTATTATGCAATGCAAAAGACCTAGAGCAAAATCATTCTCCCACTACTGGTTTCTGTGCATGTATGTATGTATGGACATGCATGAGGCACAGGCGAGCATGTTAGATAGGAGTGAGCAGAAGCAAATAGTTTTGAGACTTGATGAGCAGTTGGAGTGTGAGCAAAGTAACATTTTATGACAAGACTGAAAAATTGGTTAGGCAGACTGGGAGTCCTAGAGGTTGAAAGTACAATGCCTGCACTCTGAAGGAGATGGGAATATTCTCTAGTTCGAAGGGGCATCTGAACTGCAGTGTCTGTGCACCTCTGGAAAAAAGTGATGGAGTGAATGATGGCAAAAGTGTTTCTTTTCCAGGTCACCCTGCCTCAGTAGGAGACAGCCAGCATTAATATAAATATATAATTATATACATACACACATTATTTATATTTTTACTTATGTTGCAGCCACTCAGAAAATGTACAGCGCTACAAATATTTGAACCAAGTACGTATATGTACAGTGTCCTTCACTTATCATGGGGATAACAAAGGTTATGATATGTCAAAATATGTACAGTATTAGTTTTTCATGACTATGTTAACATGCCTCATGAAAGGTTTGTACAATGTTATAAAAATGATAATACTGTACTGTATAGTGTATTAAAACTAGGATGATAAATTTCATACACTATACCAGCTGGTAGTGCACCCAGGTATACCAGTTGGTGGAGCACCTAGGTATACCAGTTGGTGGAGCACCTAGGTATACCAGCTGGTAGTGCACCCAGGTATACCAGCTGGTAGAGCACTCAGGTATACCAGCTGGTAGAGCACCTAGGTATACCAGCTGGTAGAGCACCCAGGTATACCAGCTGGTAGAGCACCCAGGTATACCAGCTGGTAGAGCACCTAGGTATACCAGCTGGTAGAGCACCTAGGTATACCAGCTGGTAGAGCACCTAGGTATACCAGCTGGTAGAGCACCCAGGTATACCAGCTGGTAGAGCACCTAGGTATACCAGCTGGTAGTGCACCCAGGTATACCAGCTGGTAGAGCACCCAGGTATACCAGCTGGTAGAGCACCTAGGTATACCAGCTGGTAGAGCACCCAGGTATACCAGCTGGTAGTGCACCCAGGTATACCAGCTGGTAGTGCACCCAGGTATACCAGCTGGTAGAGCACCCAGGTATACCAGCTGGTAGAGCACCCAGGTATACCAGTTGGTGGAGCACCTAGGTATACCAGCTGGTAGTGCACCCAGGTATACCAGCTGGTAGTGCACCCAGGTATACCAGCTGGTAGTGCACCCAGGTATACCAGCTGGTAGAGCACCCAGGTATACCAGCTGGTAGAGCACCCAGGTATACCAGCTGGTAGTGCACCCAGGTATACCAGCTGGTAGTGCACCCAGGTATACCAGCTGGTAGTGCACCCAGGTATACCAGCTGGTAGTGCACCCAGGTATACCAGCTGGTAGAGCACCCAGGTATACCAGTTGGTAGAGCACCCAGGTATACCAGCTGGTAGTGCACCCAGGTATACCAGCTGGTAGAGCACCCAGGTATACCAGTTGGTAGAGCACCCAGGTATACCAGCTGGTAGTGCACCCAGGTATACCAGCTGGTAGAGCACCCAGGTATACCAGCTGGTAGAGCACCCAGGTATACCAGCTGGTAGTGCACCCAGGTATACCAGCTGGTAGTGCACCCAGGTATACCAGCTGGTAGTGCACCCAGGTATACCAGCTGGTAGTGCACCCAGGTATACCAGCTGGTAGAGCACTAACACCCAGGTATCTACCCAGTGTCTCCACCATCCAGCTAACACCCAAGTATCTACCCACTTTCTCCACCTGCCAGCTAACACCCAGGTATCTACCCACTGTCTCCACCCACCAGCTAACACCCAGGTATCTACTCACTGTCTCCACCCACCTGCTAACACTCAAGTATCTATCTCACTGTCTCCACCCACCCACTAACACCCAGGTATCTACCCAGTGTCTCCACCCACCCACTAACACCCAGGTATCTACCCATTGTCTCCACCCACCAGCTAACACCCAGGTATCTACCTACTGTCTCCACCCACATGCTAACACCCAGGTATCTCCCCACTGTCTCCACCCACCTGCTAACACCCAGGTATCTACCCACTGTCTCCACCCACCAGCTAACACCCAGGTATCTACCCACTGTCTCCACCCACCAGCTAACACCCAGGTATCTACCCACTGTCTCCACCCACCAGCTAACGCCCAGGTATCTACCCAGTCTCCACCCACCAGCTAACACCCAGGTATCTACCCACTGTCTCTGCACACCAGCTAACACCCAGGTATCTGCCCACTGTCTCTGCCCACCCCACGGTTACCTGGGCCAGTGCAGCCACCATGAGCTAGCCAGTGCAGCCACCATGAGCTAGCCAGTGCAGCCACCATGAGCTAGCCAGTGCAGCCACCATGAGCTAGCCAGTGCAGCCACCATGAGCTAGCCTATACGATATGGGTATAATGACACAACATGCACAACAAGCTTTTACTGTGACTATATTTCAATTGGGGTTGAGCTTTATCCTATTATTTTTATTATTTTGCTTCTGCTTTTTTATTCTTGTTCTTCTTCTATTATTATTATTATCATCATCAACATATATACCAAACTTGTTCGCAACTTGATAAAGCTTTACCCAAGCAAAACTTAATCCAAATAAAACCTCGTCTGTATAATGGGTATTTATATCTATACCCATTTGCAATACACCTATACATCCACTACCCTACACTGAGACACACCCACCCTATCCGTAACACTCCAGAATGTTGTCAAACTATCAAAAATATAATTGAGTCAAAATGTCAAGCATTGTATTATAAAGGAATAAAAATCACAATACCATGTCTGGAACAATTTCAAAGCTAACCCACTAACTGAAAGCTGAACAATGTTCAAGATCATCCTGGACAAATTATCAAGTCCCACATCACTTAACAGTGGACCGGGATGAAATGAAACATCCTCTAAATTTCAGAAAAAAAATGGTGATAATTGAATTACTATGATTATGAAGCATGTGAATTCCAGGATTCAACTGTAGGGTGCCAACACAGGTTTGTACAATAGGCCACACCTGTGCATGTTATATGAGGAATGTGTTGTATGTTTGGTACTAAGTATTACAAATCTCCAACTGTCAACTGTGTATGAAGAAGCATTATTGGAAGAATGGTGAGCCCCAGATCCCAGCCTCCTCCTAGGCTGTATGTATAATAGTGATCCCAGGCTCCTCAGAGATATGGTCTTTACAGCATGTAGGCATTATACTGATACAGCCTCTTCAGAGACATCCCAAAGTGAAATAAATAATGCCTGTAAAAATTACACTTGTGCAACACACAAGTGTCTAACTCATCATCCTGTCTGTTCTCTGAACCATTTATCTAGTGTATACTCTGATGGACACAGTCCATTACACTCAAATATTAAGCTTGAGATAAGAGTACCTCTCTCCAAGTAGAGTGGGAAGATGATGAAATCTCACCATCATGAAAAATACAAATTCAACAGCAACTCTGACTTACATCTTTAAATTTAAGGCAGGTACTTAAGCTGCTTTAACTCAGGTTCACCACAGTGTTGTCCAAGATGTTGGTGTGCATCAGGTACCTGCCTGAGATGTCAAATGTGCTTTGGCAATTGCTGAATGTATTTCATGTCTTAAGATTTTTTGAGATGTGTTAGAGGTGTGTGGATCCTGAATTAGAGGTGTGTGAAGCAGGTTTGGGTTAGTGGGATGTGAAGCATGGTGGAGTCAGTGGTGTTGAGTAGGCTTGAGTGAGAGGCATGTGGAGGAGGCTTGGGTTAGAGGTGTTTGGAGTAGGCTTGAACTAAATATGTGTTGACTAGGTTGGCATTAGAGATGTGGATCAGAGACTATCAAAAATCTCATCCCCCACATCCACCTCCTCCTTGATGCCTATTTCACATCTAGCTCCTTCTTCCTTCACCTGCTGGTCGAGGAGGAAAAAGCTCACATCTAACATACTCGAGGATGGTGACCAACCACACAGTTTTCTTGAGGAAGATTGGTAAGGCAGTGTAACTTCCTGCCCATTTTTTCCAGCCTGTCTGCTAGGTGTAACCTTACTGATACCTTCCACTGGTCTGTCACCTGTATGCTCTTCAACTGTGACCTGTTGGGAACAGCCAGGCTCAGGCTCTGAAATAAAAAATTCTTTTGAATCAATTTGGTCTGTTAGTAGCCAAAATTCACCTGTTTCAATTGTGTCCACCAGGGGTAAATATTCATTTAAAGCCTCGGGCACCTCTGAGGGTAGGAATCTACATGCTACTGAAAGTACAGGTTCTGTTGGGGCTAGAAGTTTACCTGGAAATACAGGTATCCCTGAAAATAAAGAAACTCTTGAACCTACATTGTTACAAAAGTATGAACATCTAGTATGTTCCTCTAACTGGTTCTCACATTCATTACTATTTACAAGATATTTACATTTGGATGGATATTTACTCATATAAGGACACTGTTTAGTCACCATAAACTCACAAGTTATGGCTCCTGCTTCCTTACTGACATATATTTTTGCTTTGGCTTTCTCTGCAAAATGATATTCTTCAGTTTTGGAAGTAACTTTCAAATGCTCAATATACGATATATTGCCAGATACTACATGTTCTCCTAATTCTTCTTTCTTTGTCAATATTTGCAGATGTCCTGATCTGGCATCACTAACACTCACTGGTTCCCCAGGCAAGTGTGGCTCCACTTCTGCTGTTTTGTTAACATCTGAATAGTTTTCATCAACCAGTACAGATGAATGTATTTTTCTTCTCTTTTTAACCAAAGGAACAGTTCTTTCTGATAAATCATTCACACCTACGTTATCCAATCTAGCTGAACTTGCTAAAGAGGTTAAGTAGCTTCTTGTCTCTTCTGAACATACCAAATCTGATTTATCATCATTTTCCAGTGTATTTCCAGTTCTTTGTAGCATTAATTCAGTTGTATTTGCCCTGTGGTTCATGAGAAAGGCAGAGTCCATGGGAAAGTTGGTCCCACATTTGCTGTCTAAAACACTGCTACTGAAGATGTTACATCCTGTGAGCAGGATTGTGTTAGGACAAGTGCCAGAGTGAAGCTTCATATGGCGGTTGAGGCTGCCTCTCTCTGAAAACTTCTTTTTACAAGTTGTACATTTGTAGGGTTTCTCTCCTGTGTGAATGAAGATATGATGCCTCAAATGAGACTTTTTTATACATTTTTTATGGCAGAACTCACACTCAAGGTTCTGCTTCTTCTTTGATTTATCTGGATAATTGCTTGATGAAGCCAAATTGAGCCCATCTTCTTTCAAGAAACTATTAAAAGTGTTTTTCTCTGCAAAACTTCTACTGTGCTTTGACTTCTTTTTTTGTGTACCAGTATGACTTCTTATGTGAGATCTCAGATGGTCACTAGAAGCAAATTTCTTATCAAATATTTCACAGCTGTAAAATTTGTCACTGACATGAACAGTTTGGTGTCTATTCAAATGGCACCTTTGTGAGAATCCTTTATTACACTCTTTACAGATGTAGGGTTTTTCTCCTGTGTGAAGTCTTTTGTGTGTGGTAAGGTGAACACGCTGTGCAAACTTCTTACTACATATGTCGCACTCAAATGATTTTTCCTTGGTGTGAATTTTCTTATGCAGATAATAATTGGATCTCTGACGAAATCTCTTGAGACAGATCTCACATTCATAAGGTTTTTCACCAGTGTGTAGCCTTGAATGATTTAAGAGAGTACTCTTGTGTGCGAATGTACAACTGCACTGTGTACATGTAAATGGTTTCTCTCCAGTATGAAGCCTCATGTGACACACAATACTACTCTTTTTAGAAAAGGCTTTCCCGCACTGGAAGCACTTAAACAATTTATTGCAGCCGTGTACCTGACAATCCATTTCTAACAATCTCAACTTGTTAAAACCTTCGCCTGTCTTATCAGACAGCATCTTGGAGTTTCCAATATCCATGAGGGAATTTAATTCTTTGTAACAAAAATATATTACTAGCTTTAAACCTGTAGGCAATAAGGCAGATTGATTCCAGGCACCTCTTTGTGTTTATCTGGAGAGACATTTTGACTGTCAGATCAGACACATGACACATGCAATATATCATTCATATGCCATTAAAATTGCAGACACTCAACAAGGTTGGTCACACTAGATTATATCTCTTTTACTGCTCATCATAATCATGTTGGCATTAGTCACTGCGCCTTCACATTTCACTTATTTCAAGCTGCAATGTTACCCACTACAACATCACTACTCATCACTCAGTGTGCAGTACATTTTCACTCTTCACTTGAGTCAATATGATGTCATTCATTGCATGTACATTGTTTGGCTCTTCCATCAGTATCTCCTGGGCTTGGTAGTTCATTGAAGCTTCCCCTGTTAGGAGAAACAGAGAATAATCAGCAACAACAGCACATAAATAAGAGACAAATACAGTAGCAGTCATCACATCTATTACACTCACAGGAGTACCAGTGCATATTATTTAATATCTAATATACTGTTCATATACAGGAGGGCCCCACTTTACAACATTTCATTAATGCAGCAGTTTTCAATTATACCCATTCTTCATTTATTCAGATTTCCTATAATAAATATGTTCACCACTCACTATAAGCTAAGGAGAAAAATATTTTAAGTAATGTGTGTACTGTATATGCATTTTTTAGGCCTAGCTCTATTGCTCACTTAATATATGATAGTGTAAACATGTTATCAGGCTTTTATATGCATTTGAGAGTGAAAAAATGCTAAGGTTTCACTTTACAGCAGTTGCCCAGAACCTATCCTGCTGTATTAGTGAGACCCGCCTGTACAGGTTTAATACAACAAGAACTTTATGGATGTAAACATCTCTCAATGGTCTCTCAAATATTTATTACACATTAAAGCATAGCTACCTTTTTACTGTACAGTGGAACCTCAAAAATCGAAGCAATATTTCCCATAAGAAATAATGGAAATACAATTAATCCGTTCCAGAAACCCAAAAATATTCACACAAAAATTACATTTTATAGAGATTAATTACAGTTTTACATACAACAAATACTATAGTTTTTAATTATGTATAGTAATACATATAAAATAACATTTTTACTTACCTTTATTGAAGATTGGTGATGGCATCTGGAAGATAGGGAGGAGGAGAGAGGGAGTTGGGGTTAGTGTTGGGAAGGAGAATCCCCCTCCATGAGGACTTCAGGTAAAGCCCTCTCTGGGGTTACTTCCCTTCTCTGTCTTTTAATGCCACTAGGACCAGCTTGAGAGTCACTGGACCCATGTCTCACAAAATAACTGTCCACAGTCCTCTGTTTCTGGCACCTCTTTAACATTTCCCTAAAATGGGACATGGTTCTGTCACTGAACTTGTTGCAAAGATGGCTTGTTTCAGCTTGCTCAGGGTGGTACTTCTGCACAAACATTTGGACATCATTCCACTTGGCACAAATCTCCTTAATCTTTGAAGAAGGCGCCTCATCCACTCCCTATGTTAACACCTTTCGCAACATCAGCTTCCTTGATTTGTTCTTTCTTTGACAGGATAGAACCGATGGTCGACTTGTTTTTCCCATACATCCTGGCAAGCTCAACAAGTCTCACACCACTCTCATACTTCTGTATTATTTCCTTCTTCACATCTATGGTGTTTCTCACTTTCTTTACCACTGGGGTACCACTAGCAAGTTTCTTTGGGCCCATGGCAGCTTATTTCACAGTCCCACAAGCACTAAACACAACGAAATAATCATAAAATGTGTGAATGAGAGCGCAGGTTAGTGTTCACTCAAGCATAAACAAAGCTAGACTGCTCACGGCGCCTGCGCGGGGACGCGGACAGAGCGGGCGGCAGACGGGTCCCGTACCCGGTGGTCCGAAAATAGGGGCGCGTTCGATAATAGGGACACAATTTGTTCGAAAAAATGGTCCTATTTTCGAAATGTTCGATATGTGATACGTTCAATTTTTGAGGTTCCACTGTACATATAATTGTACTTGCTGCATAAGAATAGTCTATGTCTAACTCTTAACTAGACTTTAAGCATTAGCATTAGTTTGCCTGCAATGTATTGCATACTAGTGGTTTTCTTTTATGCCTCACAATGTTTTATTAAATGTAAACTACATTATTTTTATACCCATAAGAAGAATAAAAATTTGAATCTGAATTTGAATACGTATATGGTCAGCAGCCTCTTGCATCCAGACATTGTAAACTTCTCTCCAGTTTGCAGCTTATTTGTATATTATTCTAAACATGGTATTGTGACTTCTTGTTCTTTATACATACATGCATACATACCAGGACCCCAATGGAAATACCAGGACCCCAATGGAAATACAAGGACCCCAATGGAAATTCAAGGACCCCAACGGAAATACAAGGACCCCAACAGAAATACAAGGACCCCAATGGAAATACAAGGACCCCAACGGAAATACAAGGACTCCAGCAGAAATACAAGGACCCTGCAGAAATACAAGGACCCCAGTGGAAATACAAGGACCCCAGTGGAAATACAAGGACCCCAGTGGAAATACAAGGACCCCAATGGAAATACAAGGACCCCAATGGAAATACAAGGACCCTAATGGAAATACAAGGACCCTAATGGAAATACAATGACCCCAATGGAAATACAAGGACCCCAATGGAAATACAACGACCCCAATGGAAATACAAGGACCGCAATGGAAATAAGTCACTTTGTCTGACTTTTCTGGGTTATCCTGGTGGATAATCTATATACATACTGCTATGTACGATAATTTATGTAACTGTATTTATGTGTACCTGTACCTGAATAAACTTCCATCCATCTACATGTACACCCATCCTCCCTCTCTCATTTTCAATATTCCTTTTCCTCTTCTGCACTTTCCCTCCCTATCAGCTTCATTGTCCCTCCCTTGCCCCTCCAGCCTCCCTCCTCACCTTCAACCTTCTGTCTACCTGCTTCCACCTTCCATCACTATCACTTTATTTATGTTCCTGCCTTCTTGCTGTTATTGTCTTTTTTTCCTTTCCTTTCACCCTCCCCCTCTCACCTTCACCCTCCCTCTCACCTTCAATACCTCTCTCACCTTCAACCTCCTCCTCTCACCTTCACCCTCTCTCTCACCTTCACCCTCTCTCTCACCTTCACCCTCCTCTCACCTTCAACCTTCCCCTCTCACTTTCACCCTCCCTATCACCTTCACCCTCCCTCTCACCTTCAACCCCCCTCCTCTCACCTTTACCCTCCCTCTCACCTTCACCCTCTCTCTCACCTTCATCCTCTCTCTCACCTTCACCCTCCTCCTCTCACCTTCAACCTTCCCCTCTCACCTTCACCCCCCCCTCTATCATTCGCCCTCCCTATCACCTTTAACCTCCGCCTCTCGCCTTCAACCTCCCTCTCAACATCAATCTCCCCCTTTCACCTTCACCCTTCCTCTCTCACCTTCACCCTCCCCTCCCTCTCACCTTCACCCTCCTCCTCTCACCTTCAACCTTCCCCTCTCACCTTCACCCCCCCCTCTATCATTCGCCCTCCCTATCACCTTTAACCTCCGCCTCTCACCTTCAACCTCCCTCTCAACATCAATCTCCCCCTTTCACCTTCACCCTTCCTCTCTCACCTTCACCCTCCCCTCCCTCTCACCTTCACCCTCCCTCTCACTTTCACCCTCCCTTTCACTTTCACCCTCCCTCTCACTTTCAACCTCCTCTCACTTTCAACCTCCTCTCACTTTCACCCTCCTCTCACCTTCACCACCCCTCTCACCTTCACCCTGCCCCTCTCACCTTCACCCTCCCTCCCACCTGCCCCATCCCTCCCTCTCACCTACACATTTCCTCCCTCTCCCCTACACATTCCCTCCCTCTCGCCTACACACTGCCTCCTTCTCACCTACACCTTCCCTCCCTCTCACCTGCACCTTCCCTCCCTCTCACCTGCACCTTCCCTCCCTCTCACATACACATTCCCTCCCTCTCACCTGCACACAGCCTTGCTCTCACCTGCACCTTCCCTCCCTCTCACCTGCACACAGCCTTGCTCTCACCTGCACCTTCCCTCCCTCTCACATACATCTTCCTTCTCTCTCACACATCCCTTCCCTCCCTCTCACCTGCACCCACCCTCCCTCCCTCTCACCTACACCCTCCCTCCCTCTCACATACACCTTCCCTCCCTCTCACATACACCTTCCTTCCCTCTCACATACACCTTCCTTCCCTCTCACATACACCCTCCCTCCCTCTTACCTGCATCCTCCCTCTCTCTCACCTACACTTTCCCTCCCTCTCACATACACCTTCCCTCCCTCTCACCTGCACCCTCTCTCCCTCTCACCTGCACCCTCCCTCCCTCTCACCTGCACCCTCCCTCCCTCTCACCTGCACCCTCCCTCCCTCTCACATACACCTTTCTTCCCTCTCACATACACCTTCCCTCCCTCTCACACACTCCTTCCCTCCCTCTCACCTCCACCCTCCCTCCCTCTCACCTCCACCCTCCCTCCCTCTCACATACACCTTCCTTCCCTCTCACATACACCTTTCTTCCCTCTCACATACACCTTTCTTCCCTCTCATATACACCTTCCCTCCCTCTCACACGAGTGGGATACTAAAATCCCATACAACTCAGTGTTCAGTGAGCCATTACCCAGACCAAGGGTCAACATTCCAAATGAATTCTTTATGAAAGACCCAAAAATCTCTGATATTATCCTAAACCCACGAGACATTGAAAAGGCAATGAATGACATGTCCATGCACTCTGCCCCAGGCCCAGATGGCTCATGGAACTCCATGTTCATCAAGAACTGCAAGAAGCCCCTGTCATGTGCCTTCAGCATTCTATGGAGAGAGAGCATGGACACAGGGGTCATTCCACACACACTAAAAACAACAGACATAGCCTCACTCTACAAAGGTGGCAGTAAAGCAATTGCTAAGAACTACAGACCAACAGAACTAACATCCCATATCATAAAAATTTTTGAAAGGGTTCTAAAAAGCAAGACTGTCAACCACCTAGCTACCCATCAGTTACACAACCCAGGGCAACACGGGTTTAGAGAAGGTCGCTCCTGCCTGTCCCAGCTACTGGACCACTATGACAAGGTCCTGGATGCTGCAGAGTATAAATAAAATACAGATGTAGTATTGACAGACTTTGCAAAAGCTTTCGACAAGTGTGACCATGGTGTAACAGCACACAAAATGCGTGATAAAGGAATAATGGGAAAAGTTGGTAGATGGATCTACAACTTCCTGACAAATAGAACACAAAGAGTAATAGTAAACAGAGTAAACTCTCAGGCAGCTACAGTGAAAAGCTCTGTTCCACAAGGCACAGTACTCGCTCCCATTCTATTCCTCA